TCAGAATACGCAAGGGGGCGGAGCTATCATGTCACTCAGAATATCTCCCTCAACAAAATCCATCACAATTTGTCTTTCTTTTTCAAAATAAATGTATCCATAATTTGATACTTGTGCGTCATTACTCTGAATAATATTGTACTGATAAACATAAAGCCAGAGAGTAAAGTATCATACTGCATTAAGATTGAATACATTTTACTTTTCAAATATTTGACATTTTGTATATCTTTTAATACGCACATTCACATCTTTGCATATGTTTGTTGATTAGGCCACGTTTTACAAAGTTAACATCAAAGGTAGATTAATATGCTAGATTACTTCCTTGCAGATTTTCATGTAACATTGAATGGCTGCTAAATGTATATGATCGTCTTTAACCCATTATGATATCGTTACTTTTTATTGCTTTTTTAACAAGATAACTTTTCAGAGTCAAAACATCTCTCAGTAATCAAACGCGCCAAGCTATTATATGGCGCATTGGTATGGTAACACTAAATGGGTGGTTACATGTACATGTATAGGATAGCGACTATTTTTGTTGCTGTATGAAGTGTTAAATACTATAAATTTTTAATGCATTCTGACAAGGTAAAATTATTATCATCAAAATAACAAGCAAATTCAAAAATATTGTGGTTCCTAGCTTTCGGTGTCTTTGTGGGTGAGATGTGATTTCATGGCAAATTGTCTAAAATATGAACGCCCTATCATTTGTCATTAAGACATCTAAAAATCAATTCTAAAGGTCAAGGTCAACAGGTCACAAATCATAACAAGCTTGGAAATATTTTTAGCAGGTAATGCACATGTCAAATATGAAAGCCATATCTCTTCTCAACAGGTTGGAGGGAAACGTAAATTCCGCTATAATATTGGTATCTCACTATTATAGTGAAATTACGCTATATTTTCTGTCGTGGTTACCCTCAATTTTATCCGATACCATATAAAGTGTTTGAACCGCAAGTCATGGTGGCTATTAAAATGAACAAAAACTGTCGTGCTTGCATGTTTTGAATTTTGATAAATTTTCTACGTTGCGTTTAATAATACAAGCACTCTTTTGAATTTTTAAATAGCAACCGATGATTCCAGGGTGTTTAAGCCTGTTTTAATCTCACTTATTCCTCTTTATTGTGTATAAATTGATGCTTGTTACAATTGTCAACTCTGACTGGAAAAGGTTTATGGAATTAAACAAGAAAAAGATCATTTCTATCTGCCTGGTTACGGGTATGGAGGCTCATTATGGTAAACGCAAAAACTCAAAAACAGTGTATGGTTCTATGCGATTGATTAAAAAATATTACCATATATCTAGTTTTTTTCGCGTGTTGGAGATTTTGCGAAAAAGAGGTAGATTTCTACAGTTTTATATTGCGTAAGTAATTCTTTACGATTACAGATTTTTTTGTTTAAAGTGGTAATGTTTTTATGTTTCATTATAGCTGATATAATTTGTGCGTGTTTTATATTTTGCGAAATGAAAATGGTCGCAAAAATGCGAAAAATAGATCATTGCAAAAAGACAGATATACGGTAATAGACCAGTAAACAAATGAAACGATACTGAACTGTTAATAACTTATAACAATGATGAAATTCACAAAACCCTTTCAATACTTTCAGTACTTTGATTAATGCAGAAGTGAAAGTGACGCAATATTCTCATGAATGTTCAAAAGTCAATACAATTTGAAGACTATTATTAAATTTTGGCAAAATGTGTAAGTACCTTCCTAGGGATTCACAACATCTTCGGAAAATAAAACTTAAAACGGAATAGCTTTCCGACTTCAGATTTCTACGCTTGACCCCCCCCCCCCCCTTCCCAAACAATAGCTAATCGGTTATTAATTACGTTTGACTTCTGAAAAAAATAATTACTTGCATTCAATCATCCCTTAAAGCTTGACTCTCATATGTTAAGTTATTCCTGTTGTCTATACATTAAATTATACCATATTGTGTAAATTCAACAGATACAGTTGACGTTTGATCTTTACACAAATCCAATTGGGCCAAATCAATATAAAATTACACCATCGGCACGTATAATTAATTTTATTATCATTATTTGGCTTAAAATTCCAAAACTTAGTAGTTACCGTCGAAATCATCTTATTTCATCTCAAAAATTAAAATATTGCAACAATTCAACTTAATAAAATTTTCCATGACCTTACCGTTTTATCACTTCATCGAGAAAGGAAGAGGAGGAAACAAGTAAATAAGTAAATATTAGACTATATGTGCAAATGGACCTAAATCATCCGGAATGATAGGTTGTGACTTCCGGTGAATATAATTATATATCTGAAAGGACTTAAGATATCTGGAGTGGAGGGATATAGGGTTACTGAAATAAACTTACTTATCCGAGACTAGGCTCGTATATAAGTGGTGTTATTTCCCTATATATCATGGCAAGGAGAACACGGCGAGTGTGACCAGTTAAGCTCACTCCACTATGGCACCTGATCCGACCTCTGATATTTTGGAGGTCCGTGTTTGCTCTGCTTCTATTTTGTATTGTTTTATGGACTTTGAAATTGAATACTGTTCGTTATCTCCATATCCTTCTTGCATAACAGCTCAATAAGTTGTAAAGAGTTGAACAAGAATGCTGATATTCTTGTTTCAGCATGTGCAACTTGTTTATCAATAAATTTTCTCTTTTTAGAAATTATTCACACGTAGAGCACGTTCTTGCAAATCAACTGTGATATATTAACTCCGTATGCTGGTTATGAAGGTGAAATGGGAATCGGCGAGGTGTGCCGAGTGATGCTTGGTTATAAATCGCAAAGAAATATTCACTGAAAATGTGACATTTACAGCAACGGATGCCTGTGTTATGGACAAATGAGCAGATGTATTTCAATAAAAAATTATATCATGGGCATCAGAAATTGGTACCCTCCTTGCCAACAAGGACAGTAAAAAAGCTTGGTACTAAAAGGTCACCCTATATTTTGAAAAATGAGTGAAAACGACAAGTGTAAGAAAGTCCCAAAAATTATTTTAAAATATCAGTTATTGTAGTTATATACGTTTGTTTGATATTCAAGTAGATATTGGAACATGAATCTATTGCTTGAAACCATCCAAACAAAATTTACCATAAGATGTACTTGAAAAAAAAGGTCTGACAAGAGCAAAGGCATGCAAGAGCACAAAGACAGATTTATATTTATATTTTCTTAAATATTAGTGGTATTGTTGTTCAAATTTGTATTCGGGGAGACAGTTTGATATCTGGAGTAGTCTAGAAAGCAATTTCTTTTTCAAAAATTGAAAGGTTTATTAGATGAAGGACCCAGAATCAGGAATCCACCATATTGAATTCCTTCATGACAGCGTCCAAACCTGCAAACCCTGAAGCGTAAAGGGGTTATCGGGATAAAATGAAAGTAAATCTTTTTTTCACATTAACAGTTTTTGCCCGATGTCTGACCTTTTGACTTGTTTCTTTTTCCAAATTGAAAAAAACGCCTTTCAGAAGGAAAAAAGAAACAAGTCCAGGAAATCATTGGATCTGCCATTTTGCAGCATACTAAGGGTCATACGCAAAAATGAGTTCTAAAAACAATAGGAAATTGGATAAAAAATGTTACGGACAAGTGTTTGAAATAAAAGAGATTAATAAGTAAATTCGTGAAGACTAAATCATTGAAAAGCGTCGTTTGCTTCTTTCTGAGCACCGAGAACATTTATTGAACAGCCCTCGTACATGGCGATCACGAATAACAGTATTCAAACTCAAAGGTCTGGTCAAACTATACAAATTAGCAGAAGAGCAAACACGAACCTCTTGATCATCATAGGTGGGATCAGGTACCATGGAGGAGGGACCATCCCTTGTGAAACCAATTATGTGCTCCCTGTCATTATCAGGATAAAAGGGGATTATCCGTCGACAATGCAGTGTGTAAATAATGGCCTAACAAAAAAGTATGAAAAACGTCTGTGGCAACGCACTTTAAAAAAAAATACGCACTTTGAAAAAAATTTTCAAAGTGCGTAAAAATTTGGACAAAATCAACGCACTTTGAATTTTTTCTTCAAAGTGCGTTAAATTTGGGACATACTCAACGCACTTTGAAAAAAAAAATTAAAGTGCGTTAAGGGTTTACATCAATATATTTTACCATGGAGACACTTAACGCACTTTGAAAAAAATATATGTAAAAACAAAAATTCTGGTGTAAATAATGGCACAATTCTATTTCAGTGTTATTTATCTTTCAAAGGAAATTATAAATTGATTTACTACCGTCGAGAAGAAGAGAAGACGGATAATATCTAAGACGTCAATATTTCAAGCCCTGAAGTGACCTTATCACCAAAAAGTTATTCAACCAGAATCAATTATTTATCATACCGATTATTTGTAAAAATGTTAATCAAGCTTTACATTTTTTTTTCAAAGTGCGTTAATATGGTCGATATTAACGCACTTTGAAAAGAAATTGATTTTGAAGTGCGAAATTTTTCAAAGTGCGTTGTAACAAACGTCAATAATTATTTTAGTTAATGAAAGATTGCATTTGCTGATTCATTGTATCGACCATAGAACCTATGGAATGACGACTTTAAATGAGATTTTGATATTCTTGTTACATCAACTCGTGTTTTTATAACTTACCTCGTTTAAATAAATGTTCATACGTAGAGCATGGTCTCGTGTATCGCATCAAGTGAGAGATATCAACCCCTTATCCAAATGATAAAGGTATATTAAAGCTTTGTTGTTATACTACCAGTAGGTCTTCTTTACAAAATATTCAAATATGAAGCAGATGTGTCAGATTCTTAAGTACCATTAATTGCAAGCCTACTGGGAAACATTGTGTCTACATATGAATAGACCCGAACGCCTCAAGTATGTCTAAACATATAAAACAACAAACAAAAGATACCACCAAACACATTACTTTAGATTTTACTTATTTTTGGCTTAAATTATTTTTTGTTTCTATTTCAGATGTACATGTACTATATATATTTCCTGACTATGGTCGTCTTTCTGGTCAGCAATGGATTGGCTTTTCTTTGCGATGAGCATGCGTCAATCTGTGAGACGACCTTAGAGATAGCTACTTCACTGACCATGTTCCATAAGACAGAAAAAGCTGTGTTTCCACACGGTGGCCGTCTGTATCGTTATGACGTTACCAATTTTACCGCAGCTACACCAATAAACGTAGATGAAGTCATCACAACTGACGGATGGGAAATGCAAAGAGTTGTTATCGTAGCCAACGGCAGTCTGCCAGGGCCAACAATTACAGTGTTCGAAGACCAAACACTTGTGGTACATGTTAAAAATAAACTGTACTCTGATACCGTGTCCATCCACTGGCATGGACTACCACAGAAAGGCACACCCTACATGGACGGGGTAGGGTTTGTAACACAGTGTCCCATTAACCCTGGACAAACATTTACATATACCTTTAAAGCTCGCCCTAGTGGAACATATTGGTATCACTCCCATGTTGGAGCGCAGAGAGCAAAGGGTTTATATGGCGCTTTGATTATTAAAGAGCGGAATCCACCACCGATTGTACAAGGACTGGGTGGAGACTTTGTCATGCAAATACAGGACTGGAACCATGACTATGACGTCGACCAAGCATTCCTTTATTCCAATGCTGGAGTCTTTTTGAATAGAAAAGAAATCAAGCCCTCTGTGGCTCTGGATGGGTCTAAATTCAGTCTCTGGTATGCCGAATCAGCCTTAATTAACGGGAGAGGAAGGTACTATGACTCCTCTACCAAAGCACACAACGAAGCACCCCTTGAAGTTTTTAAAGTTAAAAAAGATAAAAAATACAGATTCCGTGTAATAAATGGTTTGTATCCCTATAGAATTTCTGTAGACAGCCATCCTTTGAGAGTTGTGGCCACTGATGGATATTACATAGAACCAATAAATGTGGAATCACTGATAATACACCCTGGTGAGAGATTTGATTCTGTTATATACACTAATAACTTTGTTGGAAACTACATGATTAGAGGACATACCTTAGAGGTTAACAGACGCACACTAGTCGAAGCGGTTTTACACTATAACGGAGCAGACCAGAATTTTGTGAACATCTTCTCCACCCGAGCAAATTGTCTGTCATGGCACAAGTGCTTGGTTTTGAATTGTCCGTTTTCTTTTTATCCAAATGAAACCAATATCCGGTGTATAACACTGGATAGCATCAGGAGCTATTCCCCCGAAGAAGTTCCTGATTATCAACCCGGAGCCTTTCAGGAACATTTTCTGAACTTTGCATTTCCAGGACTAAACTTTACCCCCGCTTCTGTTAACGGTGTAGAATTTGCATTTCCTACTGTCTCTGCGATATCTCAGCCGGCCGAGATAACGGAACAATGTTCAAAAGCTGACTGTGGGGAACAAAAGATCTGCTCCTGTACTAACACCATAGACTTGAAGCACAACGATACAATACAATTTGTGTTTGTGAATATGGGGAAAGGAAAAGGTTGGTCTCATCCAATTCACATGCATGGGTATACATTTTATGTTTTAAAAATGGGATATGGTAATTACAATACGTCAACAGGTGAATTCGTATCGCAAAATGCAGACATAGACTGTCAAGGAGGAACCACTCAGGATGAAAGTTTCTGTAACAATGCCACTTGGAGTGATCCATCATGGAGGCATGGAAACATTCTTGGTCTTAACCTCGTGGATCCACCGCGAAAAGACACAGTTATCGTACCTAGTGGTGGGTACGCGGTGGTTAGAATTAAGGCTGGTAACCCTGGATTATGGATCATGCATTGCCACATCCAACTCCACTCAGCAGACGGCATGACTTTACTTCTGAACGACTCTTTTCCAAACTTACCACCGGTTCCGAATGGTTTTCCTACTTGTGGGAATTTTAAAGGTTCTCGTACTGGTAAGGAGCGTTGTATCTGTATACATATCCTAAGCGCTGCAGAAAAGTGATAAATGTACTTTAAAAGCGTTTTAAACATGCGTTTTAACATTAGAAAAATTAAAGATTCTTCATTATATCATTTTCAGAGGGGAAACAAGATACGTCAACACAATCAGTTCCAGTTACCCAGCCTCAAGCAATAAACACTGGTATGATGCAACTCTCTCTTTCTCTCTCTCTAAAAATACAAAGCCCGAAATTATTTTCTTTCTGTTTTCAAAAACGGATATCTCGTCTAACATACTATGCAATGATTTTACTTCAATTTTATCATTGTAAAATATAATTGATGAATACAAAGATGACTTGCATTAGTCTTTGCTAAATTCTGTTCATCATGATTAATTTTGTAGGCCTGCTCTCTCACCAAAACCCTTCACCCAAGAGCCTTGAATTGACGGTCGAATTTTTAAACGAGCTTACACTGAAAAAAATAATTAGTGAAAGTCACTGGGAAGACTAGTAAATTTACTGTCCATACAATCACTACCTTAAAAGTAGTTTTACTAGGTATTGGGTAGATTTACTAGATAACATTAGTAAATCTAAGCATTCATAAGTAACTTTCACTAGGTATTAAAGTATCTTTACGACCACTACTCCACTTTTCACTATCTTAGCTAGTAAACAGAGTTATTACTAATCACTGTCCATACAATCACTACCTTAAAAGTAGTTTAACTAGGTTATTCTCTCAGTGTATAATTATATTTTTGGTCTCTAGGTGTGATGTATAATTTTAATTCAAAGGTAAAAAAAAAAGTAAAACCTAATGTTAGTGTGTAATTAAAAGCAAGGATGAAAGAGGCAACTCACTTAGGGAAGAGAACCTTTTTTTCGGCAAGGGGGAAATACTTGGGAAATTGAAATTTATTGGGAAAAAAATTACAAGTGTAAAATGGAAATCCGGATGTCCATTTCACACCCTGTATGACTCATTATAAGGTCACTAACTCACTGGGTAACTAATGAAATTTAGCGTGTACGGTATTTGGCGGAATTGACTTTTGAATAAGTTAGCGTAGATTTGATTTAAAGTATTTCTTCATACTCTTAATTTATGTGTACATGTACAACACATTTAGCGTTGTACTTAATTTAGCGGTTGCTGCGTCCCGCTAAAGCCGCTAAAAAGAATACAAAGCCAATGTAATACTAGTACGTTTACAGTATCTTTTCCTTTATTTAAATAATGAAATGTTTTCTTTGAGTGTTAGTATGAGAATTAATGTCGCAGCTATTGCAGCTGTATCATAAATGGATATAGCTGCAGAACTGTAGTGTTATGGTTTTATATATTAGTCTTTAACCATATGTTATGGTCAAAGACTAATATATAAAACCATAACGCTTCAGATATGCAGCTAAATTGAATATATATGTCATTGTAAGCATAACTGATGGAACGGCCATGATTTCAGAAATCTAAGCAGGTGGCTTGCCAAGTGTCGTTATGCACCGATCAATGGGGACCGTCTTCATAAAAATTAAATAAAGAAAAATATAAAGTGGATGTATCTATATATATTATTCTACATAAATCTACGAAGTTTAAAAAAAAATCACATGCAAGGCGGGACAAATAGCTACAGAAGCTGGGCTTGAAGCACGCGAATGTATTTTTCTGGAACTGCAGCGGCATTAATTTCTGTACTAACATCCCCCCCCCCCAAAAAAAAGCCTTTCATTGTTTAATTAACTCATATTGTATTATTCACGGCCGTTATTTTAGCAGAGCCTTGATATCATGTATAATGATACATTATATGCGGAGTATTTGTATTTTATCTACAGCCGCTGCGGTGTACGACATCTGCCCTGCAGACTGGACCAGCATAGACAACCATTGTTATATGATCAGCCATGGCAAGCTCTCCTGGCCGCAAGCAGCAGTAGGTCCTTAATATCCTAATCATTCAATACCGATGATATCTCTAATAAATATGGTGGGATTTTTCCTCTCCCCTACAAGTTAACTCGAAACAAAATTAAACATGAATATATATGTAAGGGAGGGAGGGTGTGTGGGTGAGGGTATGTTTATGTTTGTGTATGTAACCTTTCTTTAAGAACTATTAGTCTTTCTTTTTTTTATCATTGTAAGAGACTTTTATGCCTTCTGGGCCAAAGATTGGAAAATTAAATTATCTTTAAGTTGTGAATATCAACAGACTTGCGATTTGTCAACTTATAAAATGTACTTTCGTGATTTGTAAATTATGCAAAGGTTCAATCTAATTAAGACGAAAGAGGGCGCTATAACAGTGGCACGTCATTTCGCCCAAAAGGTAAAAAAGATCCTTAACCAATTGAGTTTTGTAATTTGCATGCATATTATGCCTTCAAACGGTTTCTTAAACTGTTTAATACAGAAAGGAAAGGGGATCTCAACACACAAAGCCTATCTTTTGTATATACAAGACCAGGCGTGAATCTCAGGAATATTTTTCAAAGGGTGCGAGGTGCACCCCAGTCAAAATATTCCAAACAAAAAAAATCTGTGGTTTTTGTGTGTGTGTGGCGGGTGTGTATGTCTAAAGTCATTTTCTATGTGCTTCAATATATACTCTGTTCATTCCGGGGGAAGGGTAGAGTCGTTTCCCAAACCCCCTCTAAATCCGCGCACGGAGTGTTCCGAGGGAATAGAACCCGTAAGGTTTTTTTTCGTTTTATAAGAAACGCAAAGAATGGGAACGTAGTATAGGAGGGGGCTCCCATTTAATGCCGCTTTTTTCTCAAACATGTTTTACTGAAATTTAGCAGATAAAATTGTCTAGTAAAAAAGTAATTAAAATACCACACCCTTCCCGGAGTTTTCAAATACTAGTAAAAGTTTCAATTATTTTTTTGTATGGGTGCTCCTTTCATTAACGTTGCTAAATGCATGAGGATTAGATTTTTCACATTCTTTTTCTGTGTGATCCTTGGGCCCAAGGCACGGGAGCTTTTTTGCTGAATTTCATTTTGTTTCATGAGAATGCATGTAATTAAACTATATGTAACCCAACACCTTAGTTTTGGCGTATTTTAGACATACTATGGAGTAAGTATTTTGATAAGCATCATAGGAAGCTTTAATTATCTCCAGATTGTCAATTTTTAACCTTGTAATTTATTGTCATGTGTTCTTATGTCAGTTTAGTGTTGCATGCATCAATTTGGCATAACGTAAAGCATAGTATACTTTCGAGTGCTGTCATTATTTTTATGTTTAATATCTTTTTATTCTGTTGAGATCAAACAGTAATTGCTTATATCATATATTAGAGTTTTAACCTGTCATTTATTGCTTAAACCTAAAACCCTTCCTTATCTCAATTTTCTATATTTGGCCTTGTATGAATTATGGATTGGATTATTATGTAAATGTAATATTGACAAGTTTCTTTTTGTAACTCTTTGATTGTAATTTTACAGTTTTACCCTCACTGGAGGAGCTTAAATAAACTAAATGTCAGGCAGAACTTAAAGTTGTATTATATGAACACTTCAATTAAATTTTAATTTAAATTTTTCCGTAAATATACAAACAAATGTGTACTTTACAAAGACAAGAATGGGTCTGTCAATACATGCATATTTTCTAAATAAGGGGAAGCTTCACGTCCTCTAAAAAATCTTCCAAACGCAAAAGAAAATCGCAAGTAGGTCTGGTGCGTGTGTATGGGTGGATGGGGGTGGGATAATGGACAATTCATGTATACCACTCCTGAGCCAGCCGCGTCAATGATCCTCGAGTTTTGTGTATTGCTGGACGCATTGGGGAAATGAATAATTGTTAAGCAAGGAATTAACCTGCCAACCCAATAGCGCACTCTTTCGTCTCAATATGTGTAAGAATAATGCAGTCTTGCATAATTTACAAATCACGAAAGTGCAATTTACATTTCACAAGTTGACAAATCGTAAGTCTACGAATTACACGAGAGCATCGGCAAAACTCACATTTACATATTACTTTTGTCAAATTACGCATGGATAATAACAACCATGCAAAAAATTGTGCAATTTGTTTTGGAATATTTCTAAGTTAATGACGATATAAAATATAAAATAATAAACAATATGGATTTTTTTTCAATCACGAGATAGAACAATAACTTTTCTTTCGATTTGAATAAGGTTTTGAATACTTTTTGTTGGTACGTGATCAAATCTACTAAGAAGCCCTTCGGGTTTCACAGAATTTCATTAAGTGACCAACTAAAAGTTCGTTTCCCAGAGAATTTTTAACACTGTTGTTTATTTCTTAAATGATCACCTAGCTAACAAGAAATCAAATTGAATCATGATTAAAAAATAGATTCTTTTGAGAGAGAGAGAGATGGGGGGGGGGAGAGAAGAAAAATATTGGAGAAAATGGTGCCTTGTGTAGGAAATGTGTGAGGCACTGAAAGGAACTCTTGCGACATTCGAAAGTAGAGCAGATGTCAGCTCAATAGCTTTCCAGCTTCATGGAGGTAAATCAACGTACTGAATGTACTCAACCATACATAATATAAAATTCTAAAGATATTTTGTCTAGTACTTATATATATGTATTTCTTCGGCTATGTGCGTTAAAAAATTGTAAACCTTATGTCTCTACACAAAGCATAATTGCTTAAAGGGTTGACGAATTTAATAACAACAAATTCAATTTAAGTTTTTTTCCTGGTCATGCAATTTTCCGGTCAGGACTCGAATTGATGACGGCACACTTCCAAAAAATAATACTTATTTTTACATCCCTACAAATATTTTTTTTCCAATGTGACGCAGACATACGTGGTGAGAAGATCTGGGTCGATGGAACTGATGTAGTGCGCGAGGGACACTGGATCTGGGCATCCAACGGACATGACGTCATTTCCTCATTCTTTGGCAGAGTCTTCAATAACGACAAAGAAAAGAATTGTCTGAGCATGGACTCCGATAATCACTTTCAGTGGTATGCTGAAAGCTGCCATTCCGAGTTTTATTACATCTGCGAGAGACTCAATGTTGTAACAAGGTATCAGTAGCTTTCATATTATTTTTTCACTATTTCTCCACGTTCGAAGATTAATTTTTTCAGGGGCAAAAAAGAATCAATTTCATTATTGGGAATTATAGTTAAATGGAAGTACTTTTGTTTCAGTGGTTCCCCAAGCATAGTATGATAGCCATCATGTCGAAATTTCAGTAACCAATTTCAAAGTGGTGCACAAATATAAATGTAATATAAGCAATAAAATGTGTTTATGGTCATTTCTGTTGTATTCATCTTAACAAACTCAGGATTACATTAATAATATTTATTATATTTTGTGTTATCCCGTGGGGATCCGGGTTAGAATAGGTCCTCAGTACCCCCTTGTTTGTCGTAAAAGCCGACTAAATGGGTCGGTCCTTCGGATGAGACCGTATAAACCGAGGCCCCGTGTCACAGCAGATGTGGCACGATAAAGATCCCTACCTGCTCAATGGCCGTGAGTGCCGAGCATAGGCCTAAATTTGCAGCCCTTCACCGGCAATGGTGACGTCTCCATATCAGTGAAATATTCTGGAGAGGGACGTTAAACAGTATCCAATCAATCAATCAATCAATATATTTTATGTTCATTTCTTGATAACTGCATGTTGAGATTCATTCGAACTTCTATCTTAAGGTTTTGATTGACACCTACTATTTAAAAATAATCGTTACTATATATAGGCGTTTTAATTATCCAATTTCTATTTTTTTTTATTTTGAGTAATATTTCAATATCAACTGCATATTGTGCTTATTGTGTGTCCCTATCTATTTAGTGCACAAGAGCGGAGTAAGATTATTTTTTTGATCCAGGGCAAGATATTGATAGATAAGTTGATATTACTGGGAAATTTGAAAATCTCGTGTAATTATCGTACATAGAGCAATGGTAAGGCCATTGTTTTTAAGCTATTTTAGTACTAAGAACTATCCGTTTACCAAATTTATATTGAGAGCACATGGCTGGTGTGAGCGGTGCACGGCGTAATGCTTACTCCTCTTAGCCCCCTCATCTTACTTCTGGATTTTCCTTTAGAATCGTATTGTTTGAAGTTATATGAGATCGGTTACTGTTTCCTAACTTCACTCCCTGGAATCACATAGTGTTTCGGGCGTTTGCTTCATGAACATCTTGTATTTTTTCCCTGGATTGGTGTCTGTTCATCAATCTGCCCCTTTAAATGTTACACATTTGTCATTACTTTTTTTTGACAGGGGTCGGAGAGATTAAATATTGTATATGATCTTCAATATAAGCCCTCAAGAAGAGGAGCTGTGTAGCAACCCCTAATGATACAGTGCCGCTTAATGATTGAAATATCATAAAGCGTTGCAATTCAAATCTTAATATTTCCATTTCCAATTAATTTCCCATATGATTCTTTATAAAATAAAATTCTGTGTATTTTCTCATGAACAACGTTAGGTATGCTACGTTTGAAATTCTTAAATTGCCACATAGGTGAAGTCAGGAAATGAAACAAAAAAATATGTCAGAAATAAAAAAAAAATGTCTGAAATCAAAAAAAAAAATGTCGGAAATGCTATGTATATTTCCGGAAATAAAATGCGGCGCTATAGACAAGATATATTTTTTCAACACTATATAGATCAAACTCCATTGTAAAGATCAAAATGTCAAAATAGTTGTTATTCAAATTTAGGAAGGTCCTGTCATACGGAATACACCTATGCAATATGTAATTTGAAGACCCTTGTACTAACTGTTTAAAAGTTATATAAGAAGGATATGGAGATAACGAACAGTATTCAATCTCAAAGTCCATAAAACAATACAAAATAAAAGCAGGGCAAACACGGACCACCAAAACATCAGAGGTAGATGATACTAGGATCAGGTGCCATGAAGGAGTGAGCATCTCCTTCCGACCGGTCACACCCGCCGTGTGCTCCTTCTTTTGATCAGGAAATAACGGGAAAATCTGTCGTCAATTCAGTGTATAAATAATGGACTAACAATTGGTATGAAAAAAATCAGTCAGCATATGACTCAGAGATTAATTGTATTTGCTGACAAGGTCATGGTATCGACCATAGAACTTACATGTACAAAATGATGACTTTAAACGAAACTGCTGATATATAATGTGTTGTCTTTATTTTTAAAATGAGTCATATTCCAAAGTCAATATAAAAAAAAATATTCACCTCTATATTATGAAGACCCTTTAACTAACCGTTTATACGTTATGTTTAATATATAGATTTATTTTAAAAAATGGACGAAATTCTAAAGTAAAAGATATTTACCAGCGTAATACGAAGACCTTTGTACTAACTGTATTAAAGTTAATATGCTTTTCCTTATAAAAAAGGAAACTGGACTCATTATAGACATTATGTTGAACAATTTGTACACACAAAAAGGTGTACATTTTTCATAAAAATTAAATGTGTATGTGTGTATATGTGTGTTATTGTTTTATGTGATATAAAAAAAAAAAAAATAAAAAATTTATTATTGTTATTTGTATTTAAAAAAAATAATGTTTTTAATTTAAAAGAAAATATAAGTTATAAAATAAGTTTTAATTAATTTGTAAGTTTAAAAAAGAATTAAAAAAAATTAAGTGCTTATAAAAACTATATAATGACCTGGTGTTATTTTGACTTGATACACACAACGTTTCTTATTACCCCTGTATTTTAAGGTAATCTTTTCTTAGACACAAAACGTTTCTTATTACTATTGTATAAAAGGTAATCTTTTCTTAGATACAAAACGTTTCTTGTTACTACTGTATAAAAGGTAATCTTTTCTTAGACACAAAACGTTTCTTACTTACCTCTGTAAAGAAGGCATCTTTTCTAAACATTTGGTGGCTCTAAAAAGAGCGCTGGGTATGTTGATTTTTTTTATACAGGGTTTACCCAATTTGAGGTCTGCATCATGTCTCCCAGCGAGGGGTGCCCGCTGATTGGAGGTTAAAGGCTTCATGAACTCTGACCTTGCGGGGGGTGCTTGCGGCGGAGGTCTGGTCGGGGGTGGCGGTCTTCGTGGGCGTGATGGCCTCAATCCGCTGACGCCGCGGGTGGTAGGGGGCCTCGTTTCCTAGCGCCGACAGAGCGGACAACAGGAGGGTGGATCTGTTTGGTTCACCAACACCCGGGAGCAGCTATAACAGGCAGGCTTGTTATAGCAGTCCAGACACACATAGTTTGAGGGCCAGTTCCCCTCCAAGCAAACAGGGCACTGTTCCAATCTGGCATCCGACACCTGAAAGGCCCAGACTGGTACTGATGGGGGTGCTGGTTCCTGCTCCTCCTCACTGCTCATTGCCCAGTCATTGTTTACGGGGGGTGTCCAAAATGGGGACTCGGCTCCTCCTACTGCTATTTTGGGACTTTGGCTGGGTGATAAAGTCTCTGTTGGTGGTTTTGGAGGGGGACGGGCTCCCCAGGGTGTACTCGGGCGGAGATGACAGGTTCCGGTAGGCCTCCGGACTGGAAAGGGGCGCCGAGTATCCCGTGGGTCCCCGGGGTTCTTCATCATCGCCCTCTGCCTCTCTTTCATCTGCCCGTCTGTAGGGGGAGGAGCGCCGTTGCTGCGTGCGTCTTCTTCTTCTTGCCCTCTGTCCCCTTTTCCCTGGTATATCCTGGGCTAAGCCAAGTGTAGCAGTAGGCCATCGGGCCAGCTCCCTACTGGTGGTGACATCTCTAACAATCCACACGGCTAAAAATTCATCGCCATTGATCAGGTAAAAGTTGGGGATATTTCCATCAGCCATTGTACACGTATACGATGATACTAACGAATGATTCTGAGTACTGACGCGTGTCTGTATTAATGCACTCATGACGGACGTAAAAGAGAGCATCTCGATGGCGAATGCCTATATATCATGGCGAACCCAAATTGTGTGTGATTTGTACTTTTGGACATATACATTTTCATGGATTATTCAGTGTGTATTCATAGTTGGATTCCATCATGATACAGGTCAAAACAAGGTAAGTTCCTGCCTATTTTCATACTAGAATTGATACATGACATGCATCCGTCGTGGAGAAAAGAGTAAAAAACCTCGAAGTAACGAGGCGAAATCCAGTGACCTGAGTGTATAAAATAAGCCTTTCAAGTCTTTTTTAGAGGGTGAGACAAGGAAAACAAATGAGGGATCGGCAGAAGGGGCCTAGGGAAGAGTCCCGATATAGTTTTTATTTCAAAAGAATCATGATCAGGGTAAAAATCAAGCTAAAATGAGTTTAGGTATAGACAAAATAGGGGTCAGAGGTCACGGATTTTCAGAAAATCATACTATGAGATAAATAAGGATTCTTGGAATCTAGCATTCTTCTGACTGATATTTTAAGAAAAATAGAATGCCATGAGGTTAAAAACAATTCGTATTTACTTTTTTAGAATATGTACAAGTCTTGATCGTTTATTTTTTACCAAAATCAAAAACTGAAGTTACACTGGGTGTCAACAAGGTATTACACATCCCCTGATTTTTTAAATCACCAGATCTTTTGTGAAAGAAATTTTTACATGAAAACAATCGTACTGGTTTGAAAACCTTTCGTATTTACTTTATAGATCATTATCCATTCTAATTCTTTTTGTTTGATCAAAAACCATACACAGACTCCGCGTCGAAAAAAAAAATTCAAGATGGCGTCATAAATAACAAACACTGACGTAGTATTACATGATTTATTTCTCAAAGACTAACAAATGTTCTAACTGTCGAATTCTCCTTCGGAATCGTATTCGATCGGCTACTAGACTCATCCAGAGACTTCTCCGGTCTTCGGGGGGCAAATCATAGATTTGATTGAGACTGGTATTTAAAGTCACCGATTTCCCAGCCTGTGTGAAATTTTCTGTCATTTTATTCCGTATTGAATATACACTTTTTCTATCGCATCCATTTCCTGCCACATAAAATTACTTTTGCCGTTTTCGGACGGTTATGATTTAACATACTCCATATACATATCATAAAAAAATCACACGCTAGAAATTAGTCATCAGCTGTAAGATATTTTCAAGGATATATAATGTATGTCAATTTTAATAGTTTCTTAGTTCTCCCGTGTCTCCAGGGGGTTTAATGTGTATTTGTGTATCATCTTTATTGCTTATACTTTTTTTTTTTACCAAAAACTATTAAACTAAGCTTTGAATGTTAACTGAATGTTAATGTTGATTGAGTGTTATTATATGCTGACTGTATACTTGTTATGCTGCAGAAAGTTTTGCTGCCAGGTTGTTTCCTTCTCTCTAAATCATGATAATTTTTAATCTACAGATACATTTTAAAATACGACATAAGATTATTATAGTTGAGGCACATAATTCACATACTCTTACAGAAATTTATCTAATTTCAAATTTCTTCTCACTGTTTGTAAATGAAATGTTTCACATTTTAATTTATTTAGGATAATTGTTGCAGATCTTCTGAAGGATCAGAAAAAATTTTTAGTATTACCTTCTGATTTCTTTAATTATCACTATTTTCCAATATATGTGGAAATGAAAACAGGAAAAATTTTAATCGATGATTTTACTTCTTTTTCTTCTGTTGATTTCGATTTATTTTTTAAAACAATTAATACATAAAATAGTTATTGTTTTATATGGGTAACGTTTTGTTTCTGTAAAACTAAATTTGGTAATTTTGATGAAATATAAAACCGCATAATATTTAATACGTTTCTTAATCAAGTTTTAATGCTTTGTCAACTGTAAATGTACAAAAACAGTAAAAAAATATAGACAATGACAATGTGGCATAAAAGAATGAAATAATTCTGTTTCAAATGTCCCTTCATTTATATATGCTGCAAAGAAGCGACGAAATCATTATTCCAAGGGAAAGCATGCTCCATTTAAATGAACCTGAAAAGAAAAGAGAATTAACAACGCTTAATTATTCAGTCACAGAGACTAAAATATTATTTGTTTAATGATAAAAAAACCCAAAATGTGTTTCTTACACTGATGCTTCCGTAGGGCAGCTCTTAGTGAAGTTAAGGCTTAGATAGCCTTTCAAAAGACTTTTATTTTATTGAATTTAAACTTGTACTGGTACCCAAAGAAAGGTCTTGACACAAAGATTGCACATGTGAAATATGCTAGCCAAAGTAGTATCAAAGTAATGAGAGTTATTGGCAAAGTTTTTGTACAAAAATAGAATGGCATCATTTGGACAGACAGGCGAAGGAATAGGAATAGTCTTATTTCCCCTAATCCTTGATTATGAGGGCACACAAATCAAAATAGTTTTTCCTAATTTACCTCCAGTTACACTGGCCGAATTTCCATATTCAGATGGATAGTCAAGTATTCTTAGTTTTCCGTTAATGTTCTTCCTGTGTATTGCAGTTTCTACAACATCCCTTTTCGTTATTTCGGTGTCCCTTTTTCGTCTTGATGAATTTTTGCATATTTTCTAAGTAAACATTGAAAACAAAAACAAAATGATAAAAACATACTGAAAGACAGATATAACTCTCTGTATTATTGTTAGGACTCACGGATGTGTAGCAATTGTTAAGAATTCCCACTGGACTTTGCTTTGTTATAAAAAAGTTTTGTTTATTTTTGTCTATATTTTTTGTTAAATACCATATAGTTTAAATTCTAAAGAGATTCACTTCATTCACTCAGGTGAAGCTCGTTATAAACATGCACTTAAATCACCGATTCGGTTTGAGTAGCACACAGGATCAGGGGAAATATTGTTAAAGAATTAATGTGTTAAACTTGAATTTATGCTGTAGATTTGATTAGAACCCGCCCTAACTCATTACTGATCACACTTGTAACTATGCATTTATAGTTGTTTTATTTTCAAAGAATTAATGCATTCATTCAAAATATATTCCATGACAATGAACTTTCAATTTAAATCGAGGGCTTAATGCTTATTACAATCATGTCAATAGTTTGACATCCTGAGTGATGTCCATGAATAAGTTTTAACTTAACTTTAAACATTTGACTTACATGGTCAGGATTCTCTGGGAAAACACCAACTTCACAGGCTATAGTGATGTAAACATCTCCCTCAAATCTAAACCCGTACATTGTGGCAGCAATTATTGATGTACTGTTGTTGTACTTCGTTATAGTCGTCAGTAACTCCTTCTGTTTTGTGCAGTCCTTTCTATTTTTAAGAAAGTTTTCAAGACAAAATATAGATATAAAAAAACATTTATTTAAAAATTAAAATATCAACGTTAATATTTCGATGGGACAATATTTGACCATTTTCTAATATACATGTTCCTGACCTTATGAACGTCATTAGTATAATAAAATGATGGCAATATATTCAAATTGCTTATAAATTGTCAATAGAAATTAGCATTACGACTTGTATATATCACCCCTGTTTTCATTAAAACATTATACTATTTAAAATATAATATTATTTTTGATTTTCTATAAATTATCTAATATTTCTTTTGAAAGATTTTAATAAAATTATTGGATATTTTTATATGAATAATTGAGGTTTATTCTTTTTACAGTTTTATCTCACATTTTAAATTTTTGCCTAAAAACATTATTCACTAAAGTGTATATTAATTGTACAATTATCGTATTTTTGTTGTAATAATATAGAAATCTGATGATTTCAATGCTACGATGAGTACGTGTTTAACATTGACAAGCGGTGTATATTAAGACAAAATTTATGAACTAAAACCACATGAACTTTTGTACAATGACGAGCAAAAAGCTCAGCAATATCTTAAATAAATAAATAAAAGGTAAAAAAAAAATGATATTCGGGTATTTTCCTATGAAGGAGAGAGCATTTTTTTTATCTTAGTCAAACGAAAAAATTTTGACCTAATCTAAAATTTGTCTTCAAGACGAATATAAGTTTATTTTTTTTCAAACTGAGATTGTCTTGAGCAGAGAGAGGTGGTTGAATCCTACTACAGATATATTACAGTATGCAGTTTAAGAAATATTTTTACGAATTTTCCATTCGATCCAAATCAGCACGTAGTCAGACGTGCAGCATTTCTTACCTTCTATAAAATAATGTTTAACATTCATAAGGTTCTTACTCTATTTTCATCCCACAAATTGACGCGTTTCTTACTATCCAGCTTTTCATCTACAGGCACCACTGTCCCTGCATATGCTGTACAAGATTTTGGTATAACAGCATAGTGAGAGGCTGAAAACAATATATGAATATCAATAATTATATAAAGCTTGATTTAAAATAGGAGTCTTAACAAAGAGAAAAAATGCTTTCCAATATATGAAATAAATAATTTGAGAAATATTGATGAAGACCGTAGTTGCGTAGAAACCGAAAAAATTGCAACTGTTTATTAAAGGCCTGTGTATATTTAATTTATTTGACTCCTTTAAGATACCCACGTCCTATTCAAAAAGTCCAATAAACCTTTGCTTAATTGTCTATACATTTATTGCTTAAATGTTCTACCAATCCATTAAATGATATCTTTTAACTACTTACAGATTAATCGAATTATATTGTTTTATGTCCCTCTCGAGAATTTTTCACTCATAAAGAGACATAGAGACGCCACCATTTGCCGGTGAAGAGCTGCAAATTTTGTCCTATACTCGGCACTTAGGGCCATTGAGCAGGGAGGGATCTTTTTCGTGCCAGCACCTACTGCGACACGATACCTCGGTTTATACAGTCTCATCCGAAAGACCGGTCTCCAAGTCTCGCAGGGGGATTTGAAACCGCCACGTAAGGATCAACTCCTTACTTCGCGACTCTAGAGCAGACGCTCTTACCACTGCGTCAATCGGGCTTTAACTGCTTAAAGAAAACTTATTCCAACTATAACGAGATATCTCCCTATAAAGGGATTACTAAGTCGATAAAATGAGACTATTCCTTCGTAATCTCAAGGTAGTGCCTATCTAACTTTCGTTGTGAAGGGATCTTTCCACATTTTAATGAATTATATTACACACACAGTTAATTGTTAGTTTTTTATTCGGAATTTTTTTATCAGAAACGTTTTCAATTATCGATTTAGACATTTACTCTGCACTCAGGGCAATTGATCAGTGAGGGACCTTTATCGTTCCAACGCCTAACCTGACACTTGGCTTTCGTTTTTATCGTCTGAAAAGAAAAGAAAATGCAACTTCCTTTTATTTACATACTGTGTGTAACGTGATATATTTCGAAAATATTATATTTAGAAAATTATTGCACAAACCTTGCGTTCGTAGCGGTATGTATTTATGATATTCAATGAACAAGGGGATTAATTATACAATGAAGTTCGGGATTGACTTCCAAAGTAAAATCATACCTCCAGTGTATTTAAGAAACATAAAGAATTCATCTCCAATATAAATTTCGCTTATATCAGGAGCGTCTATGTTTTTGGTAGCTTTGAAGTGCATTTCGACAGGAAAAACTTCTTTTTGGTTTTCTGGCAATTTGTGAGGTCTAGAATGAAAGTGTATACAAACATTAAACTTACATATATGTATTAAATAAAAGAAAAAAAAACTTTACGAGGGAATCTAATCAAGAAAAGGAACATTAAAATGAGTTTGATAGCGAACGCAGCGAGCGTCGCGAAGCGATGCTCGCGCAGTGAGCTCAATAGACTAACGTGTAAGAACAGATGAAATTCGGAATGAAATCTGTATATACGTCAGGCAAATTTTGTTGTGAAACATTCCCAGAATTCCTTTACTACCCAATGTCCTTTGCGCAAATAAATATAAAAACAATAACGTAAAGAATAAATGGCTTACAGTTTGTGGAAATCTTTTAAAGAAAAATTTACTTTGGAATTTTTTCGACCAAAATTGCGCTAGGTCTACAGTTTCAACCAGGCCTGGGGGCCATAAAACTTGGATTAGTTCACTTTTGATCTCAGTCTCACTTTTTCCAAAGGAATTGATAGTGGAAAAGCAAGACCAAGATCGAAAGTGAGCTCGTCTAAGTTTTATGGCCCTTAGGCCAGGCTGATGCTCGGCCGTCTCCATAAGTTCCGAGGAGCTCCGTGACGTCACAGCTAGTCGATATGTCTCGTGCGGCTTGATGTTTGAAGTTGCTGATTAATTTATCAAGTGTTTTGATGGTACAAATCCGCTCGGCCCAACGGTCACACCGTAAAACATATTAGTGTTTCATTAGTTCTTGCTTCTATTAATAGAGCATCCCAAGTTATATATAATTTTAAACCTTTTTCATACATATATACCTCTCATTTAATATTTGAATAAAATTAATTTTCAGCAACAAAACATTCCAGTAAAAATGTCTTACGCATTTGAAATTGTTATGTAACAAACAGCAAAACTGTTAGAAATATTGCAATTCAATCATTATCGAATCTTTTACAGATCTATCAAAAGAACAAGCTACATGTGCCCTCATGCTGAAACTGTAATTTTTAAATACTGTCTATGGTTGCTGTTTCGTTACCCACACCTTAATCCTGAATGTTTCTCAAAGGTAAAGTTCCGATTTAAACCGAATGAACAAGATGTATTTGTGAAACTTTGATGCCTCGGAAAGGCAGCACATGGTGAGGTTCTCAAATGCAAGTCAACTCCAAAGGTCAAAATGTCAAAAGTGATGGTATCCGAAGGAAAGCCCTATCACTAACAGTTCATAAATTATGGTCAAGGTAAAAGTATTGTTTTAAAGTGGGAAAATATCAAGGCCAAAAAGGCAGAATTTTTTATATCCTAAGTAATGCCATGTCAAAAGAAATACACCTGTGAAATACAAACGTCCAAGTACTATTGATTCAAATGTTATGGAAAAGGCTAAAGGTATAAAAGTGGGTCAGACTTTAAGTTCAAATTCAAATGTTTTTTTTTCACCTAATGAAAGGTCTTATCACAGTAAATAAACATGTGAAGTATGAAAGCCCTAGCTAGCACCAACTCATCAAATGTTTATGGCATGGTTAAAGTTTAATTTTTTGCATACAAATAGGTAAATCTTCAAGGTCAAGAGGACTACTTAATACTAATAATACTAAATACTTCTAGTAGATCTGGTGGTACTAAAAGATTCTTATTATAAAAGTCACAGCCCAGCCAACTCAAATGTTATGGCCAAGGCTAAAGATTTTACAGAGAAACAGCACAACAAGCAAACTGACATACAGACGGATAAATTAAAAAAACCTATTTTCTTGTTCCTCCAAATCAACAATCTTGGGAGCATAAAATTACCTTTCATAATTATTTTATTTTTTATAACAATTAATAACGAGGAAAATAAAGATGTTACAGATGTCTTCATGTAAGAATAAATGAATTGCTGGCTATTTGCCTTTTTCTGAAAATTAATCATTGGGTGATTTTCTTGTTATCGAAATGATAATGGTTTATATGTATGTATTTTTTGTAGCAAGGCCTTTCATTGGATACCATTGAACTTGACCTTGATGATTTCCGTGCCTATGAAAAAACCTTCATATTTTTCATCATTGTATTTCAAGTGAAAATACCCTACTTTTGGTACCAATATATTAAATTTGCATTTAAGAAAAGTTTAATATTTGCTATGTTGCATACGGGGGCATAAGTGTTTCACAAACACATCTTGTAAACCTAGTACAAATGTTTGGGACTAATAATTTTTCATAGAAAATTAAGGTACTATTAATTATTATTTGGCTAAAAATATTATATCATATCGTTTTATAAAATTAGTCTTCACTAAATAAAACGTACCCTCCCTGAAAAACATGTGCAACAGTTTTATTAACACCACTGCTTGGTATGTTGAGACATTTGATGACAAATTTATGCTCTTTGTGTCCCCCAATTATTTCTACGGCCTCTGTGGTAGTTTCTTCCGTGGTCTCCGAATCAGTACTCTGTATTTGTTCGGTACTTTGTGGACTGACTGATGTGGTTGTTTTAGTAGTTGTACTGCTTTTAGTATATTCACCAAACACAGGGTCTTTTACGCTTATTGATATTTCATATGCCTTCTGTGATGCAAAAGTAGTTATTTATAAATAAGTATTAAAAATAAAAAAAAATTAATAAATAACAAAAAATAACTAATATTAAATAGTTGTGGTTATATTGTTTCAGCCATTAGTGTTTGCTATGAAGAATGAAGGGGTACAAGGCGAGACCACCCCCACCCCCTCCACTCTGATACAAAATATTTGATAAGTTTTCAATGTTCGTGGACAAGGTTTTTTGTCTGTTAAAAGTAATACTATCTTAAAACAATTATAATTAAACTGTTTTGAAAATTTTTACAGATCTCTTATGACAAAGGGTTAAAAAAATTTATTTTTTTTTCCATTTTGATGTTTTGGAGGTCCGTGTTTGGTCTGCTCATGATTTGTATTTTTTATAGATTTGATATTGAATACTGTTTGCTATCTCAATGTCCTTTATAACCACAAGCCATGGGAGATTAGTCGAAAAGTCACCTTTTTACCCATAACTATTTCAATATGCACACTGAGTCATATAAGGAAATTCATATATTTTATATCAAATTCACGCAAAAACTTTGAAATGTCAATACCGTGGATATGAAAACGATACCCTTTAAACTAATGCGGAAGGCTTATGTTTGACGAAGTTCTTATTGTTTCATTTTCATTTTGGAAAAGTAAAATAAATTAGTACATTTAAAATGAATAAACTTTATAAAATCTATTCAGAGCTACCATTTATGTAAACCGTACCTCATCAGTTGCATTAGTGCAATTATATGGGATATTTATTATTCCTCGTTCTGGTGAAGTAGTTCGGTCCTTGCAAGTACCATCTATATAAGTCACTATGCTGCCATCATGAATTCCAAATACATATATTCTTCCACTTTCGAGGCATCCTGGGACAATATACAGTTAATGTCAAGCGGATACGTTAAAGTTTTATTTCAATTTCGTAAATATATAAGAATTTAAATTTAAATGTTTAAAGATTAAAGATAAGTATTACAGAAAAAATACATACTAAAGCTATAGTGTGGGTGCACACAGTCAGCAAGCACCGGGCCAGAGATCTTAGAAAAAAAATAATATGCAGGTTACTGCGCGTAAAGCTGGAAAACTGTTACAAATAAGTAAAAAAAAAGGATGGTTATTACTTAGTTCAAATTATACTATTGGAATATATATAATTGAGAAATTTAAATTTGAATGAATGTACAACAAAACAGATGTTGTTCACACCCATTCCACACCCATGGTCATACACATTTTAAGTATGGATATCCCCTCCCCAAAACAAACACACACACACTTCCCTCACACATACAAACACCTAACTATCCCCTCAAAAATTGGCAAACACACACAAACACACACACAACACATATGCATGTACACATACCCTTATAAAAAAAATTAATTAGAGCCTTTTTTTCTCAAAAAGATGATATTTTACTGTTAATCACTATCATATTTTGTTCTGTGCAAACAGGGTGAATTTTTTTCCCGTTTAGAGAATATCTGTGGGTAGAAACTACTGAAACGAATATTATACTGTACATAATCAATCTTACAAAAAAGTACAATTTGCTTACATAGACAATAGTTACTTACAACGAAAAATGGGTGTGATTGACAAAACATTTAACATGTAAATTGTAGGAAATAACTAATTCCTTTTTAATAAACAGTGTCAATTAAAACCTCAAGTGCTCGTAGGTTTTCTTATTTTGGATCCATGATGATTTATGTATTCACATACTTTGACTTGCTTTTCAGTCTGACATTCAGCTTTATCTGCCACAAAATGCAGCGCAGTGTCACTATTTGTAATGTTAGACGCTTACCAACATTATCAGTGTTACCTACTGTTTTATCTACATAATGTCTGTCCTTTATATCAAGCAAATATTACATCACAGATGCACAAGGAATTTGCGTTTCATGTAGCAGAAGATTAGATGTTGATATCTTCATGTTTTTAGGGATGGCAATCGAATACAGAATTGCTAATCGGTTAACCGCAAGGCGTTCTCACCGATTAACCGGTTAACCGTATCAAAATACGCGTTATATACAAGAAAACTGATAAAGTCTAGATGTTAAATCATTGAATTTGTTTTGTTTCTTGCTTTTCCTGTTATTTCAGGATCATGACAAGAGCACTCGGCGGATGTGACCGGTCAGCAGGGGAAGCTCACTCCTCCATGGCACCTTATCCACCTCTGATGTTTTAAAGGTCCGTATTTGCCTTGTTATTGTTTTGTATTATTTTATGGACTTGAAGACTGTTTCGTTAAAAAAACATATGAGGTTATATGTTTTATTTTAGTTTCAATATACACTGGGAAAAAAGTTACGAAAAGCACAAATCATGTCAGAGAAATCATCACATTTTTTTCAATGCAGATTACAAATACGTTCGTTCTGCGTTGTCGCCATAATTAAAACAAAGTATATTTAGTAATATATTCGATAGATAATTGCAAAAACAAACTTACTAATTTGCAGTTCTCAACGGTAATTTAATCATCATTAAAGAAATAGAGGACAGTAAACAGCATAGTGTTTTAACAATAATTAACACTTCAGTCTCAGAATGATTAATTACCCAATACTCTCAACCCGGATAACGATAATTACATCCAAGTCAAGTCAGCTTGCATGTGTGAAAACGCCGAATTATCAAAGTTAACATGTATGAAAAGATTTCTTTTTTCAAAAATAATTTAATTTCACTTGTATCAAGCTGTTTCATTGGCTAAATCATTCAGAGGAACATATAATATTTTGTATAACATAACTTGCCTACGTCACAATGAGTTACGTCAAAAACGTATTACTCTGCTTGACGTTACTTTTAAAATAATGCTCAATTTGAAACCTTATTCTGGAAGAAAAATTGTCTTTTTGTCTATACTGAAATTAAATTATAAGGAATGAAGCTAATTTCAACTTATGTTATACGATATAACAACACTTGGGGCAGTTTACGTTTTTTTATAAACCGCTTCGCGGTTTATAAAGCGTAAACTGCCCCAAGTTATGTTATATCGTATAACATAAAATGAAATTAGCTTCATTCCTTAAAAAAAAAGAAATTTCTACGATAAAAAAGATCAAATTAATACAAATTTTATTTTTTCCGACTAACTGAATACAGATTTTCTAATCGATTACCATCGTTCCGACGAGTAATTGGTTAACCAATCACAAGTTGCCTTCAAATTGTTCTTAAAGTCTGCCAAAATATATGCTTCAAAAGATAACGCAAACAAAATCAATCAGATACTACATATTCAATAATTCTATAGTTCTTAAAACACATGAATTAATTTAAAATGTAGGATACTTCTCGTGTACTGCTAGAAACCTTTTAAGTTGGATAATTAATAAAACAAATTTAACTATTTGATTGATTGATTGATTGATTGTATAGTGTTTAACGTCCCTTTTGAGAATTATTTACTTATATGGAGACGTCACCATATGCCGGTGAAGGGCTTCAAATTTTGACCTTTACTCGGCACTCAGGGCCAATGAGTAGTGAGGGATCTTTGTCGTGCGTGCGCCTGCCGCTGACACGGGGCCTTGGTTTTTAAGGTCTCATCCAAAGGACCCGCAACTTTAACTTCAAAGTGCCGAGCGCATGGCGAAGGAACAGTTGCTACCCATTTTAACGACTAGGGGCCTGTTTCACAAACGTTTCCTAAGATTTGTCGTAAGACACAACTTAAGATATGCCTAAGTTATAACTTAGGAAGTTCCTAAGATTTGTCACAGCTGTTTCACGAAACAATCTTATCTTAAAATTTTCCTAAGTCATTTCCTAAGTTGTGCTTCTACATTGACTAATGAAATAATTTCGCCGCGCTATCTACAACTCTCAGTATGTCCGAGTGGTTTATATTGTTAGCTTCAAAAAGGGAGGGGCGGGGGATTGGGAATATTGCGCGTACTTTCAAAGGACTTGGACGGAAGTTTTAACTTAGCGAAGTTGCTAGAACTAAGCATTCACATACAAATCCTTTCAAGCCCTTTTCCCCTCCGGGCACATATTTTTATTTTTTAAACATTGTTCTACGTGTATACTTTACTTTTTTAAAATTTGATCTTTATAAGGTATCGATCCCAGGTATTGTTCTTACTATACTTTTCTGCTTGTCAATTATTAAATGCAATTCAAAAATGACTGCTTCGCATAGGGTAGACATAGGAGGACATTTTTTGAAAAAAAAAATGCTTGCCATTACTACTCCACGTTAGTTGTTTGTGCTGAGTAAAGCTTTCTTACAGATAATATATTATATATCAATATATTATATAATAAGGCATTGTCGCAAACCACGGCCAAAATGTACGATCCTCTCCCATTCTGTAGGAGAGAGCTATATACGGACTCCGGACCGTGTTTTGAGACGATGATGCCATGCCAGAAAAAATAATCACAAAATTCGCGACTACAGGTATGAAAATACTAAAAGAGGAAATCAAAAAAGAAGATTTATTGAAATCTCATGCATAGCTATAAATTGTATTAAGCGAAGAGGAAAACTGGTTGTAATTTCAAGGCCGTAGGAACTGGAGGAGCACGGGAGGGGGGATGATAATAATTTTTCCGAAATATTGAATACAAAAGAAATCAAAACTGCGTTATGCTTGTGTCCCCTCAATAATAAAGTCCTAAAGGATCGAGATTAGATGCAACCATTCTTGGAAGAAGCATCTACTGATATAATAATATATATCCGGAGCTTGGTTCGGGGTTCATCAAGAATCACGTACTTCTCGAAAGTGAACAAGTGTTTCCATATACTGAGTATTTAAAATATCATTTTTTCAAATTCTAATTTAATATCGATTAAAATACTAGTAATAGATATATAAAAAAAATATTCATTCCGTTGTATGAGAAGAGTTGTGGATAAAAGGTGGGTACCCCAAAGCGTACGGACGGACGTACATACCGATTACTATATACCCTCCCGCTTTTCAAGTAGGATTATAATAAATATACATGTAGATAAAAACATAATGTATGCATGCATGTATAATAATGGATCAAATTATATGTGTTTTTTTTTTTACAAAGGCGTGCTCTTCAAATGATAAGGAATAATTCCAGCATGTGTACCATCTAATTCGCCAGCTCCAGTGGCCCAAATGAACGGACATTTTATATACCTTGGACTAATTTTAACCTATGTTTGCCATTGAAAATTATTATTGAAATCCTAGTAATGTCATGCAAAGTAAGCAGTTTTAGCCTGGAGAGAACACAATCATCCATATACGAGTAGTCCATTGGATTTTCTCACCCCAAACACATTCTCTTTCTCCATAACAAATCTTGGATATGCAGCCGCAATGTTAATGTTTCTTCCTAAGTCATCGATTTACCTGTCCTAAAGTTACGACATAACTTAGGAAAATCCTAAGATAAGACGAGGTTTGTGAAACGGATAAGTAATGAACTTAGGAAAAAGTTCTTTCCTAAGACAGAACTTAGTCCTAAGTAGGCTTTGTGAAACGGGCCCCTAGGTCAGTTGCGATCGAGATACGAACTCACGACCTCCCGATCAAGGAGCGATCTCTCTACTGACTGATCTACCGTGAACGGTTTTAACTATTTGAAGAAATACAGGGGAACATTATTACACGATTCCCTAAACTCCTCCATGTCATATAAAAACTTGATACCAGGCAGTATATTTTTGAAAATTTCAACAATTATGGACTTATTTTTATTTTGTTGCATTGAATATTCTAGACACGTATAATTTAATTCTGTTTTTAATTTGCCATTTTATTTGAGAAAACAATATAAAAATTATATTTGCATTTTTTTAGCATAATTACGAGAGCCTATATTCAATTCTGGGTGAACTTTTTGTGTATGATCTTTTCAATATCGATAGAAGAATCCGTAACAAAAAAAATATTATAGTAAACTATAGTTAACAATAGTTTACAATAGTAAATCAAAGTTCCAAAGTTTTCACCATAGTAAATTAAAGCTCCAAAGTTTAAATTTGGTACCATAGTAAACTATATTTTACTATAGTATTTATTTTTTAGGAATGCAGTATTAATTCTGACGTGCAATAGTCTGATTGAAATCAATCAAAAATTTTAACATGAAAATGAAACCATCAACCTGTGTCGGTTTCTCTATGCTGCCCCCCCCCCCCCCCCCCCCCCCCACAAAAAAGATAAATATATTAAATCGTTCATTATGTTGAAAACCTTTTCAATTAATTGAATCCGAAAAAAAATTATACTGAAATGTTCTTCATGTGAAATTAAATAAAAAATACTTACTGTTAAAACAAAAACAAAGAGAATGATGTTTCTCGACATGCTTTTTAATCTGTTAAATAAATAAAAGAG